GTGGCTGGTGGGTTTGAACCACCAGCCTTCTGATTAGCAGTCAAGTGCCTTAAGCACTACACTACCAAAATTGAATGTTTCCTATTTTCAATGCATTCTGTATAAGAAAAAGTAAGATGTTTTGGTAACATGACACAATTTATTTCCTCAGAATATTTAAGAATAATAACAATTATTATTATAAATAATAAGCCTACTTTTACCTTAAAAGTTTTGGAATTATAAAAGGATCATAGATACAAGTTAAGCCAGTAACATACTTAGAGGTAGATATAGTGACAACAAGTTTCAGTTCAGAAAGCTAACCACAAAAAGACATTTTTTAAACTTTTATGGGAAAAGAAGAAAAAACACTAGGTAAAAAGGATAATCTTTTTGACTGTAACAGTTTAAATACACAATAATATTAACACTGCTTTCTCTTCCAGAATGGACAAAGTACCCAAATATTAAGGGTAAAACATTTTTAATGCAAATAATATATTTTTGTATCTCATAATATAAGGATAAAGGTCAAATGAGACTGACCTGAAAGCAGACATTTTGAAAGTGATTATATGTTTGATGCTATAGACTGTACTTATGTTCCTTGGGCCCAGATGATCCTCTCCACTGACTGATTCCTCATTGGGAGAGTGTTTACATGTCAGCAGTATTTGGCCAGATGGGTTATCAAGTGTACATGGCAAATATTTACCGTGAATAATGTTATCATAGTATATAAGTAGGTTTTGATTTTTAAGAGACTCAATACTATTTACTATCCTAATTACCGGGGTATTTTATGCAGTGAAACAGAAGACATTCTGTAATATTTGCAGAACTTTTTGTTGAACAGAAACAAATTACTGTTAAATAAATACTGTCATGAATTATAGGAGCACTGGTGATACAATGGTTAAAGCATTTGGCTGCTAACCAAAAGGCTGGCAGATCAAATCCAACAGCTACTCTACAAGAGGAAGATGAGGCAGTCTGCTTCCATGAAGATTTACAGCCTTGGAAATGCTATGGGGCAGTTCTACCCTGTCCTATAGGGCCACTATGAGTTGGAATCAACTTGATGACAGCAGGTTTGGTCATGAATTGTTATATAAACTGAACAAATATTCCTTAGTCATTTGTACTCTCCTGCATTATTGTGTAGTATTTTCTTTCTCATATAGAATTATATATCGTTCTGAACAAATACAGCTAAGCTTCTTGTTGTTAGGTGCCATTGAGTCATTCCAACTCATAGTCACCCTGTGTTCAACAGAACAAAATACTGCCCAGTCTTGCACCATCCTCACAGTTGTGTTGCTATCTGTGAACCCATTCCTGAAGTGACTACATCATTTCATTTCATTGAGGGTCTTCTTTTTCCCTGACCCTCTACTTTACCCAGTATGATATCCTTCTCCAAGGACATCATGTGATAACATGTCCCTTGTGATAACATGTCCAGATGGAGTCTCACCATCCTCACGTCTAAAGAGCATTCTGGCTGCACTTTTTCTAAAACAGATTTGTTTGCTCTTCTAGGAGTCCATGGTACACTCAATGTTCTTTGCACCATAATTCAAAGGCATCATCTCTTCTGCAGTCTTATTCATTGTCCAGCTTTTACATGCATATGAAGTAATTGAAAATGCCATGGCTTGGGTTATGCACAGTTTAGCCCTCAAAGTGGCATCATTGCTTTATAACACTTTAAACAGGTCTGTTGCAGCAGATTTGCCAAATGCAATATATATCATTTGATTTTGTGACTGCTGCTTCCGAGTAAAATGAAATCCATGACAAATTCAATCTTTTCTCTGCTTATCTTCATGCTGCTTATTGGTCCATTTGTGAGGATTTTTGTTTTCTTTAAGATGAGGTGTAATCCTTACTAAAGGCTATAGTCTTTGATCTTCATTGCAAAGTGCTTTAAGTCCTCTTCATTTTCAGCAAGCAAGGTGTGTCATCTGCATATCTCGGGTAGTTAATGAGTCTTCCTCCAATCCTGATGCCATGTTATTCTTCATATAGTCCAGTTTCAGGGATTATTTTCTTGGCATACAAATTGAATGAATATGGTGAAAGGATACAACCCTGATGCACACTTTCCTGATTTCAAACCATACATTATCCCCTTGTTCTGTCTGAATAACAGCCTCTTGGTCTATGTACAAGTTCCTTATGAACACAGGTAAGTGTTACGGAATTCCCACTCTTCACAATGTTATCCATAATTTGTTATGATACACACAGTCAAGTGCCTTTGCATAGTCAAAAAACCCAGTAAAAAATCTTTCTGGTATTCTCTTCTCAGTCAGTATCCTTCTGGTATTGGCAATAATATCCCTCTTTTCACATCCTCTTCTGAATCTAGCTTGAATTTCTGGCAGTTCCTGTAGTTGTACTGTGGCAAGTGGTTTTGAATTATCTTCAGCAAAATTTTACAAGACCAGTGACCACAGCTAAGCTTAATGAAGTGGAATGAGCTCTGAATAAAGAGGTTCCATTTCCAGCTTGACTACCTACAACATTGTTACTTTGGACACTGAGCTCTAGTTTCCTGGTCTCTAAAATGTGATGGTGCCAAACCATTTCACAAGTTGATTTGAGGAAACCCTCTACAATCTACAAATCAAATCATGTTAATCTTATGAGTAAAAAACTTCATTAGCATCATTCTTGGTAGTGTCAACAAAAAGGAGGGAGACCCTCAATGAAATGAATTGACCATAGGTGCATCAATTGTAAGGATGACAAAAGACCAGGCAGCATTTCGTTCTGTTACACATAAGGTCACTATTAGTTGGTGCTAACTTGATGGCAACTTAAAACAACAACTCTTATAGGACAAAATTTAAAGCTCTTGACAAGGAATACTAGAATACTAATTGTTTTCTCAGATCTTTGTATCACAGATCAGCTGTGAGTCATCATAAATATATACATCCCACACCCTTATATCTCCATACTGGTGCTTGAAATTTTGTGTAGACTTAAATTTTAAGTTGAGTTGAATTGGACAAGTTTAAGTAGGTAAAAATAAACCACAACAAAAACAATAAATACTATTTCTTTTTACACTGACATCAGATAATTTGAGAGACTATTTAGGCCAAATTTCTGTTCTATCCAAATCATCTGATAAAAGTGAAATAAGCCAATACATTATGAATGAAGATTTTTGTAACTCATTCAACTCTGCTGTTATCACTTTGCAAACAACTGGTACACTGCAATGCAGATCTATTGACTAAAAGGTCTCACAGATTTGGTGCTTGAAGTTTTCAAACAAACAAAACTTTTCTCATAAAAAATTAATTGTGCTGAATTCAAAAACTTGTGATTGGGATAAATTTTTTGTGAGATCTCTGTGCGTTCTGTGAGAAGGGAAGCTGAACCTATCCCTTCATAGGGAAAGAGTGATTGAGAGTCACTCACCTGAAGTAACTAATGATGAGAATAGCCACAGCCAAGGAACCAAAGGATATGGAGTACCCAACAGTGTACATGATGTAGAGGCGCTCAAAGAATTCTTTCTGGAGAAGATACACACACATGTTACAGGACAGTTTTACCAGTAAACAAACAAAAAGAATATGTCAGTTTTGGAATATTTTTTCTAGTTGTTTTCTTAAATTGTTTTATTAAACTATAATTATATAAAATAATATGTGCACATCTTAAGTAAAATGTTTGCTGGGTTTTGACAAATCAAGTTGATTTGTACCCCTGGCTAGTCAAAAAACCACCCACCACCCATTCCTAGGTAACCACTGTCACAACAAATTAGCTTTGTTCATGTGTTTCACATATTTGTTGACTATTCTTGGACTTCTTAGAATCATATGGTATATATACTTTGATCTCAGGCTTTGTTTTTTGTCAACATACTATTTTGAGATTCATTGATACTGTTATGTATATCAGTGATTAATTCTTTAAAATATTTTTAATTTTGAAATACTTGCAGATTAACAGGATATTGCAGAGATAGTAAGACATGCCCCCTATACCCTTCATTCAGTATTTCCCAATTATTACGTCTTGCATAATTATACTACATATCAAAACCAGGAATTTGACATTGGTATAAAATATGTGTATATAGTTCTATGTCTTTATCACATAAGTAGGTGGGTACAACTACCATCACAATCAAGAGTCAGAACTGCTCCATTATACCAAGATTTCTCTTGTGCTATCCCTTTATTAGGAGCTCTGGTAGCATAGTGGCTAAAGCACTTGACTGCTAACCAGACGTCTGGCGGTTCAAACCCACCAGCCACTCCTCGGAAGGAAGGTTGGGCAATCCTACTTCCGTAGTGATACTGCCTCGGAAACCCAAGGAGGGGTCGCTATGAGTCGGGGCCGACTCGACAGCACATAACAACAACAACAACAACTGGTAACATAGTGCCTAAGGCACTTGACTGCTAACCAGAAGGCTGGAGGTTCAAACCCACCAGCCACTCCTTGGAAGGAAGATGGGGCAATCTACTTCCCTAGTGATACTGCCTTGGAAACCCAAGGAGGGGTCGCTATGAGTCAGGTCCTACTCGACGGCAAATAACAACAACAACATCCCTTTATTATCACACCTCCCCTCCTCCCCACCACCGTGCCTAACGCATCAACGATAATTTGTTTTCCACATCTGTAATTTGTCATTTCATAAATACTATAATAATGGAATCATACAGTACTTGACTGAGATTGGGGTTTTTTTACTCAGTGTAATACCTTTGAGATTTATCCAAGTTGTTGCATGTATCACTAGTTGCTGAAGCTCACTGAAGGTTTGAGCAAGACAAGGAGAGCTAAGAGAAATGCCAAAGGAAAGCTGAGAAAGATCTCTCCAAGACACAAGGGGCCTTCATCTAGAGCAAGGCACACGCTTATATCCCTTATATCTCCATACTGGTGCTTGAAATTTTGTGTAGACCTAAATTTTAAGTTGAGTTGAATTGGACAAGTTTAAGTAGGTAAAAATAAACCACAACAAAAACAATAAATACCATGTCTTTATATGCTGACATCCGATAATTTGGGAGACTGTTTAGGCCAAATTTCTGTTCTATGGCACCCAAATCATCTAAGAAAAGTGAAATAAGCCAATATACTATGAATGAAGATTTTTGTAACTCATTCAACTCTGCTGAAGACTGGGGGCAGAGCAACAGGGTGGAGCAAGGTACAGAAAGCCTGGGTCAGAGCTAAAAAACAATGTGAAATGCCCAGCAGCTGGAAAAGCTGATGTTGTTGTTGTTATGTGCCATCGAGTCAGCCCCGACTCATAGCGACCCTTCCTTGGGTTGCCAAGGCAGTATCACTATGGAAGTAGGTTTCTAAAGCAAAAAGAATGCCTCTGTGGCTTAGTAAGCTGCAAGATGGACTAAAACCTATAAAACCTTCTCTGGAGGTTAGTAATGCTCCAACCCCAAGCCCTACTGAAGAGAAAGTCTGAAAAGGTCTGCCTGCTGCAGGGAGTAAACATTATATCGTTCAGTCCTTAGTCCCTACTAGGCTTTTACCTACCATGCCTGGCACGCAATCAAATATCACAAGACAGAGAAGAGAAAAATACTACCCAAAATCAAGAGTAAAAATAGACCAGAAAAACAAGTGATTCAGATGTTACAATTCACAGATAAGGACTTAATAATAAGTATTATAACTACAATTTACCAAAAAGATGCATAAAATGCAAATAGGAAATTCAGCAAAGAAATATCTCAAATTCTTACCAAAAAAATAAACATTCTAATATTTCATGTATCTCCTTTCATTCTATTTCTATGCATCATTTCCTATTGTTTTAAGTGTTTGCTATCCCAGTTTACATAGAAGTTTATTCCCTGGTTTTTGTTTGTCTGTTTTTCAGTTAGCAATAAAATAAAACAATTTCCTAGGACATTGCAACGTCATATATACATATGAGCTTATTTAAACCATTCCTTCATTGGAAACTTGTCTTTAAAGTATTCACTATAAAAATTAGTGCTTCAGTGAGCCTTTTTTTCATTAGATTCTCCCCATTTTAAATTCTTATGCCTGAATCTTAAAAGTAAAATTATAAGATCAAAGGATATGACCCCTTTGAAATGTTTTGATATATATTGCCAAATTGCTTTCCAAAATGTCATACAGTCTTTATACATAAGATATATTACATGATAATTTCTACAGTATGCTAATGTTTTAAATATCATACTCTAAAGAATTTAATAACTTTGTGGCCTATCATAATAGTTCCTTCCCTTGTTTTTATTAAAAGATTACCTTACTTTCCCAAGTCAATGATGTAGAAATTACTTAAAAAACAAAATAATAGGTATTCAAAAATATCTTACTCTTCTTTCACCAATAAAGATGTACCCTTTTTTCTAAATACATGAATGCATATTCCTTTTTCCTTTTCCTTCCTTATATAAAAAAATTTCATACCTTTAATGAATTGTAACTCATAATTAAGTAATATCATTTTGTCCTCTAGTATATAAAAACTTCAAGAGATAGTTTTTTTATTAGCTGACATTTATTTTTCTTAAATTTTCTCAAATTATTAAGAATTGTTCATGATAGAAAGTACTTTTTATATTTTTAATTAAGCAGATAAAATTAAATTATTTATTTTAATGAAATTCTTCAGAATTTCCAGGTAACTGCCAAACCAGTTTTATATGAAATAGTACATATCTTCGCTGTATTAACAATCCTTAATTGTTTTCCTTCTTGAAATACACAGTAATCACCCCCCAAAAAAAATTATTTTAAGATTAGAGTTGAGTATAAATAAAACCATGGTTTAATTTAATGGCTATTTAAAAGCTGTGAAAGAGCCCCATTTTTCACCATTTAAGGTACAACAAAATTCATTGCAGAGTATATAGTAATTGTCAGCAAATGTTTCTATCATTGAAAGAGAAGATTTTTTGAGGCATTTTATATTAACTTACTGTAGGCTTTAGTTGTGTTGTAGAGTAATAATAATCCCAACATTTACCAATTTTATCTAAGTAAATTTCTTCCCATTGACTAATTTTATCTAAGAAACTTGTCAGTGATGAAATATAAAACTGAAGATCACTCAGCAACTTATTAAAGATTTCACTAATACGGTAGTGCTTTATGTTAGAGAAGAAGAAAGGGAGTTGGGACTATTAACGCTAATTGCTGTTGTTGTTGTTATTATGTGCCATCGAGTTGGACCTGACTCATAGTGACCCCTCCTTGGGTTTCTGAGGCAGTATCACTATGGAAGTAGATTGCCCAACCTTCCTTCCAAGGAGTGGCTGATGGGTTTGAACCACCAGCCTGCCAGTTAGCAGTTAAGTGCCTTAGGCACTATGCTACCAGAGCTCCCATTAATGCTAACAGCAATATTAATTATAACTAATATATATGTGACATTAATGGTATTAACAAAGAAGTCTTCAACTCACCACTTCTCTTTTACTGCTTTTCCCAAAAAAAAAAAAAACAGCATCAAGCATAAAGGAAAATTCTAATGTTGGGAAAGTTTATGCCTGGTAGATTCTGGTCAGTGTCCTCAAAAAAATCATTCATGCACCCATTTATCATGTTGACTCCTAGCATCTCAGGCACATATTATCATGTAATTTTTCTCAAGAGGTCTAAGTGCTATGAATTAAAGCATGGCTTTTAAACCACCAAGTATAACTTACAAGTAACTATCTGCAAATTTTCAAAGTTTCCATGATTGCTATACTAGAAACAGCACCAATGTGGAATTCTGCTTTAGACCTTATCTTCAGCAAGTTGTATCACTTTGAGCAGCACTTAACCTCTGCTCTAAATTTACTCATATCTGTAAAATCAAGGTGTTATGGCAGAAAACATACCTTTATCATGTCCCTTAACCAACCAAACAAACAAACCTGTTGCCCTTGAGTCAAGTCCTATGCACAGAAACACTATAGGACAGAGTACAACTGCCCCCTATAGTTTCCAAACTTGAAAATCTTTAATGGAGCAGACCTCCACATCTTCCTCCTGCAGACTGAACTGCTGACCTTTCGCTTAGCAGCCCAGCACCTAACCACTGCTCCACCAGGGCTCCTCTGATGCCCCGTACTCATCTAATTCTACAATTCTAATATTTACTATAAGCAGCTCTGGTCACGCAGTGATTAAAGTACTCAGCTGCTAACCAAAAAACTGGTGGTTCAAATCCACCAGCTACTACACAGGAGAAAGATGAGGTAGTCTGCTTCCATAAACCCTACAGGGCAGTTCTACTGGGCCCTATAGGGTCACTATGAGTCAGAATAGACTCCATGGCATTGGTTTTTTGTTTGTTTAATCTTTAATATGTTAATGGAATCATCCACTGGTATGGGAAAGACAACTTCAAAAGTATAGAATGAGATGAGCTGTAGCTATTCATAGGTAACCAAAAAGCAATCATGAATACACTGCTGGCTACCTATTTAATATATAATACAATATAAATGTAATACAACGTATCTATACACATGTATACATTCATAAATATGTATGTATCTGGGCCAGGTAACTCTAACCTAAGGAAGTAACAGAACTTTCAGATGTCTGGTTAAGGAAAAGTTCTGGATTCCAAATTTGCTTTTGTCTTTTATAATCATCATATTATAGAATAAAAGGGTTTTTATAGATAATGGCTAATAACCAAGAATTGCACAGAAACATTATTCTATTTTCTTTTAGAGGTTTACAAACACGAAAATAGTATTACCTTTCCTATGCTGATATCTGGCTTCAGAAAGCGAAGGCAGTCTGAATAATTGGCCCATGTTTTATTTAAACTGTGAATAAAATCCCATGTTCCATTGGGGTTACAGTGACGAAAAGCAACTCCTATAAAGACATGAAGAAAGATATGGAAGTTGATCAGATTCCTTAGTGTTTATTGAAAAAAAAAACAAGTAAAATTCTGTTTCTAATTAATCATTTCAGAAAAAAATGCAATACCTCTGTGATTGAAGTCATAAATATAAGGAGGGCATGGGACAGCCGATATTTTCCCCACTGTTCCTCTGGGCCAACAAATCAGTCCATCCCATTCTGGGAAACAATTTCCCTCCACTGAGGATAGAAATTAAAAAGCAAACAAACAAACAAAAATTTAGATGAAACCAGAGACTAACGCAGTTGAATATGCAAAATCTCAGATCTCTGCCTGAGGTAAAATATAAAACAGATTTGCAGTTTGGGAAACCAGAATAAGATAGATATAATTCAAAAGTCCCAAAATTCACCTAAAGGCCCAGTCAAGCTGAACACTTGATTTGCATACATTAAAAAGATATAAACAATTTCACCTCTATTAGTTACAAATCAATGTTTCCTTCTCATGTGGATTTGCCCTAGTTATCCACTGCTGCTATAACAGAAATACCACAAGTGGAGGACTTTATTCTCTCACAGTTTAGGAGGCTAGAAGTTCAAAGTCAGGTCACCAGCCCTAGGGGAAGGCTCTCTCTCTCTCTGTTGGCTGTCGGGGAAGGTCCTTGTTTCCTTTCAACATCTGTGCACCCAGATCTCCTTAGAGATCCCCATGTATCTTGGTTCCAATCTTTCCCTGGGTCTAGGAAGTTTCCTCTGATAGCTCACCTGGTAGAGCAGAGGACTGTAGGCTTTCTCATCCTAGTCATCCTTAGGTCGCTGGTTCGATTCCAGCTCGAAGGAAGAGTTGATGTTTGGGAGCTCTGGTAGCATAGTGCCTAAGGCACTTGACTGCTAACCAGAAGGCTGGTGGTTCAAACCCACCAGCCACTCCTGGGAAGGAAGATGGGGCAATCTACTTCTGAGTGATACTGCCTCGGAAACCCAAGGAGGGGTCGCTATAGAGTTGGTCCAACTTGACAGCACATAACAACAACAACAGGAAATTCTCAGAGACCCTGGGTCCAAAGGACATGTTCCTCTCCCAGCTCTTCTTTCTTGGTGGTACTGAGGTCCCTCCCTTCTGCTCCCTTCTCTCTCCTTTTAACTCTTGTAAGATAAAAGGTGATGCAGGCCATACCCCAGAGGAATTCCTTGCATCAGATCAGGGTTGTAACCTGAGTAACAGTGTTGCATCCCACCCTAATCCCCTTACAATTGATTGGCTGGTCACATCAGATCATATTATAGGGTATGATTACATCATCACATAACTGCAGAACCAAGAAGAATCATGGCTCAGCCAAGTTGACATATTTTGGGGAGGACACAATTCAATTCATGGCAAGATTGTTGGCAGAATTCAGTTCTTTGCAGTCATTGGGCAAAAGTCCCTGACTCTTTGCTGGCTGTCAGCTGAGAGTTGTTCCTGGCTTTCAGAAGCTGCTTGTAGTTCTTAGTTCATGGCCACTTTCTCCATCTTCCAAGTCAGCAATGGCAGACTGAGTCCTTCTCACACTTCAAATCTTTCCTACACTCACCTTTTGCCACATTTCTCACGGATGCTTTTGCATTCCTCTTCCTTCTTTCTTTTTTTAAATTGTGAATTTGGTGAAAGTTTATAGAGAAAATTCATTTTCCATGTAGCAGTTCATATAGTTTGTTTCATGACATTGACTGCAATCCCCACAATGTAACAGCTCTCTTCCCACTTCCTTCCTAGTTACCTCTTCCCTGTGTCCTTCTCTCCCATGCACTCCAACCTGCCTGCCCCCCCCCCAGCTATCTCCCTATGCAAACACTGCCCTTCTGATCTCCCATGATTACTTGTTCTAAGGAGTGTATCTATCTGGTGTAACTGTTCACCTTATATGCCTGTCTATTGTTTGCCTAGAAGCCACAGGAGTTAGTTCAATTCCAGGCCTAAAGGATAACTAGGGGCCATAGTCTCAGGGGTTTCACCAAGTTCTATCAGACCAGTAAGCCTGGTCTTTTTTTAATCCCTTTGGATTTTGTTCCACATTGTTCTCCCACTCTATCCAGATCTCCTGCGCTGATCCCTTCCCAAGTGGTTGTGAAGTGAGTGACTCCATTTTATAACTCTATTTTTGTAATGTCCAGCTATAACTGGCAATATCTTGCTAAAACTCCATTTTATGCAACCAAAATGGCCATCTCATCCTGCCCCCACTCCCTGTGGGTTAGGGAGTTACTCCCCCACTTTTATTCTAGGCAATTAAGCAACTAAAACACCCCTTGATAAATAGAATGACTCTGAGGTGGTTATCAGAACTAACTCCCCCTCACCCCTCAATAAGCGCCTGTGCTAAAGCACGTACTCTGAGTCCTTGAAACAGAGAAGTAATTGCAACTTCTGCCTTCTGCTTGCCTGCTTGCGTTTTAGCTTTATAAAGCCTGCCTAAAATCAGGCTCGGGACCGCAGCACCCGAGCACACTTCAGCTCCCTGCGGTCGGCTAGCCTAAATAAAACTCTTTTACCCAAAAGTGGACATTATAGTGGCTACTATTTTAAATCAAACCCATAACAGTTGGCAGTGGGGCCCAGGCACCATCTAGTTCTTCTTCTCTCAGAGTCGTAAAGGCTGAGGTTTGCATGGTCCACTAGTCCCTTGGACTAACTGCCTCCATCCATCTTGGGTTTTCTTCATTCTTTTTTTGATCCAGATGAGGAGAGACCAATTGTTGCACCTACATGGCCCTTCTCACTTCCTCCCGGTACTCACCTCTTCCCTGTGTCCTTCTTTCCTCTGCATTCCTGCTACCTGAGCTATCTCCCTGTGCAAATACTGCACTTCTGATCTCACATAAGTGATTGTTCTAAGGAGTGTATCTACCTGGAGTACCTTCTACTTTTAAGGGTCCATGTGAGTTAAGGCATTTGGCTACTAACCAAAAGGTCAGTGGTTTGAACCCACCAGCTGCTCCATGGAAGAAAAATGACGCAGTCTGTTTCCATAGATTTACAGCCTTGGAAACCCAGTGGGGGTCGCTATGAGTTGGAATCAACTCACTGGCAGTGAGTTTGGTTTTTTTGGTTTGGTGATTACAGGATAATTATCCAGGATAATCTCCCTATCTTAAGGTCTCTAAACTTAATCTTATCTGCAAAATGTTCTATACCATGTAAAGTAACATCCAAAAGAAAAACCAAACTCACTGCCATTCATAGGAACCCTCATCGAGTTCCTGAGGCAGTAAATCTTTATGGAAGTAGATCATTGCTCTTCCTTCTGTGGAGCAGCTGGTAGGTTTGAACCACTGACCTTCCGGTTAGCAGTCAAGTGCCTTATCCATTACACCACCGGAACATACGCAGGCATAAAATCAGGGATTTGGGTTTGGACTTCTTTGAAGGCCCATTATTCTGCCTCCCACAAGTACTATTTATTATGGTTCTCTCGATTTTGTAGTTACCAGTTACGCTAACTGTAGTTGAGGGTCTTTCTTCAAGCTAATGTTCATGGTATAAATTGGTTTGCTTTTGAACAGCCAGGTAACAGAACCTCATCAAAACACTGCCCACTACAGAAAATAATTCAACATAAACCTGAAATTGTTTGGTGTCTAACATATCACACGGAAAAAAAATACTTCATTTGCTTTGTGGATTGCTGAAGCAATAAGGAAAAATACCTTCCCTTGTCCACAGTGTTCTTATAGAAGAGAAAGTTTTTTTGGAAACAGTCTCACTTTGTCCACATAATAAACACCTAGGCGCTACGTATCACATAGCGCCTAGGTGTTTGCATAGTGGCTAAAGCACTTGACTGCTAACCAGAAGGCTGGCGGTTCAAACCCACCAGCCACTCCTCGGAAGGAAGGTTGGGCAATCCTACTTCCGTAGTGATACTGCCTCGGAAACCCAAGGAGGGGTCGCTATGAGTCAGGGCTGACTCGACGGCACATAACAACAACAACAACAACGTATCACAAATGACCCAGAAACTCATCACAGTTTCCCTGCCTGTGCCCACCATTACCTGATTATTTTTTCATTGTTGTTTCTTTCCTTCTTGTTTATACAGTATTTGGAATCAAAAAAAGTATATAGGAAATATACTTTCCTATATCTTGACAGCATCCCTTATGGCTTCCTGTCCAATCCAGTGCCATTAGCAAGTCACATGTCATTTTTCACCTGGACTATTGAATTCTATACCTGATATCAATAGTGAAATCTATGTAAACTGATGCAGGACACATTCTTGTTTTCTTGTAATCTCACTGTTCCTCAAAAATTTATGCTAGACAGTCATGTACTATTTTCTGGGAAGAATTACTCATATGATGGAATAAGGTCTTCATACAACTGTAAGTTCCAATGACCAGTTTTTTTTGCAATTTTAAAATTGCTATGAAAAATGCAGTACAGTGAATATGGCCCTTCTAGCCATAGTCTTTGTAAGTCCTACCAAATGACTGAGTGGGACTATGCAAATGAGGTTCTTATGGCTTCCAAGGGGATTGGATAGCTTGCTAATAATGTAAATAAGGTATCTTTGTGGGGGTGAAACCATACAAATAAGATGTATGGAAACCTAATGAGGGAATTAGTCAGTTTTTCCATTCCACTATGCTTAAAATGAGCCATCCCAGAGGCAGAAAGGAGGGTGAAGAAGGTATGGGAGCTGAGCACATTCTTTAGGCCTGTGGTGGCTGCACCGGAAACATCATAGACCCAGGAGACAGAGAGCTGTGACACTAGAGACAACAAGAGACAGTGAGAAGCAGTGGCAGAGAAATCGCAGTAGCAGAAGCAAAAGTACCAGGAGAGTGGCAGGAGATGGCATGATGGGCTTCCGAGGCCACAGAGTGAGAGAGCCGAGCACCTCTGAGCAGAAGGCTTGCTGGTGTAGTGAAGTCACAGACTTCAAGCACTTGGCAGAGCTACTCTTGTCAGCCCAGGGAGTAAGAGAGCTAAGTGCCTTCAGCCCAAGGTTTACTAGCAGAGTACGGAGTCTCTGGGCACTTATTAGTGGAGCTCTGGTGGTATTCTGGTTACCAAGTGCCTCTCTGACAAGACATATACCACAAATGGGATGGCCTTATCAAACAGGAGTTTATTCTTACAATTTGGAGGCTTTAAGTCCAAGTTCAAAGTGCCAGGCTCTAGAGGCTGGGTGAAAGCCCCTCAACCTTGGGATCCAACTCCACCTCCTGCTCCCGGCCCACCAG